ATGCTAACCACCGCTCCACCTTGCAGCCCCTAGCTTTAGATCCTTAAGTCCTTGTAAGCTGCAAGATAGGGCCCCCTTGGATTGTGCTTTTTTTTCCCCTCAAAACTTCCCATAGATGCTCGTTGGATTTGGATTTGGAGGCCAAGTCAACGCCTTCAACTCTGAGTCATGTTCTTCTAAACATTCCTGAACAGTGTTTTCAGAGTTGCGGGGAGTGTTATCGTGCTAGAAGAGGCCACTGGAGTCCCAGTTGCCATGAAAGGGTGTTGTGTGGCAAAGTTAAGGTACTTTATATGTGCCAAAGTGACATCCACATGAATGCCAGGAGTAAAGGTTTCCCACCAGAACATCATCCAGAACTCGTATTCTTCCTGTAGTGCGTCCTCCTGCTGTATTTCCCTGGGTAAACAACACATACATCCGACTGCCCACAAGATGCAAAAAAAAATAAAAAATCTGAACAAGCCACCTTCTTTCATTGCTCCATGGTACCGTTCTAATGCCCACATACCTGTTGTAAACACTTCTATTGGTGGATAAGGTCCAGTATGGGCAGTTCAGCAATCTGCGATGTTCTGTATGTTCTAACTCTTCTATTATAGCCACCATTAAGGTTTCCAGCAGTCTCTGTGGGATTGAACCACATGGGCCTACCTCCCATTCACATCAATGAGCCTTCTGCGCCCATGACCCCGTTGCCAGTTCACTGGTTGTCCTTCCTTTGACCGCTGTTGGTAGATCCTAACCACTGCGTGCTGCAACACCCCACAAGACCTGCTGTTATGGAGATTCTGACCCAGTCGTCTGACCATCACAATTTGGCCCTCAGCGCCTGACGTTTGCAGATTTTTCCTGCTTCGAAAACAAAAACTCAGAGAACTGAGTGTTTACTTGCTGCCTAAGATATTCAGCTCCTTGACAGGTGCCGTTGGAGTGGCTTAATCAATACGGCTGACCAGTGTATATATTATATGACATTTATTATATGCTTTATAAGCTCATCATATGTTTTGCATTCAGAAATCTTCATTTTGTAAAGCAGCTTGTAACTAAAGCCGTCAGTGGTGGAGGAGAAGCTGAGAGTGACTTAGAAAAAGAAAATAGTCCAGTAAAGTACAAGTAACTCAAACTGTTGCTTGCTTACTAACAGTCCACCAGTGGGTTTAAGCAAGGGTTAGTTTTGGTTGGAGTTGATGCCTGAGGAATAAGTCATTGTGTGTGTTTTCAGGACACGGAGGAGCAGATTGCTATAAAGCAGTGCCGCCAGGAACTGAGCGACAGGAACAAAGAGAGATGGTGTCTGGAGATCCAGATCATGAAGAGGTCAGTGCCATGTTCTCGTGCATCGATCACATTTAGTTCCTTTTGGGGGAAGCATCCTTCCTCTGTCACTTTCAATCCCGCTCCTCTGCAGAACACACAACAGGCACATCGCAACGTCATTACATTTTTCCAAGACTGCTTAGTGTTTGCATCTTAACCACTGAGGATCAGCGGAAAATATAATGAAGCACCGCGATGCACATCAGCAAGAAACTATGTGCTGAATAATACATCAAAATAAATCGATCCTGACACAGGCCGTGGTCTCTGAATTAGTAAAGACCTGCCTAGAGGTCAGACATGCATTAATGAAGGCTGTATGTGTGCCATACGTTGGCATGGACTGTTTTGTTCTGATGGAGGCTCACAGACGATAACCGGATGACCCGATTTCCAAACTTTTCTGTTTGTTTTTTTTGACCGCTGCACGTTGCTCAAGCTCGTCTCTCTGTTTACCAGAGATCCAGGAGTCTGTTTTTCCGCAGTGATGCGTCTCAGCGTGTGACACATGAGTTTTTTTAAACTCGTCTGAAGAAATTGGTGATTTTCCCTATATTCTTTTTTACCAAAAAAACCTCTTTGATGCTTTGCCTTGAAACTCCCTGTTGGCATGTGAGACACGTTTTGGTTTGACCTGTCGTGACTCACGGCGGTACATTCCACGACAAGTGGGTGCTTATGAGCTCGACATTTGACTTTTATGTACCCATCTGCTGCACAAGTTTTCTCGAAATATAAAAACTAAATTTGTATCCTGAAATAGTAAAAATCACACATTAAGTAATTAGACAGGCATGGACGTTTGGGTTATTTTGGTGGCTTTGGTTATTCCTGGCACCGCCTCCTCATTTTGCTCTGCTTCAGCGGGCATTTGTTTTCCGCACACGCCCGCTAATAACCTCAGTTTAGCTGTCAGGTCATTGGGGTTGTATGCCAGCTTTTGCAGTTTTTGATTTTATTTTTTTTTTGTGTGTGTGTATTCGTCGTCATTTGCTGGTGCAAACATGCGTATAAAACCATTTCTTTCCTTGTCCCACTTTAACAAGCGTGTTGTTTTCAGACAGACATGGTCACAACCGCAGCCCTCCCGTGCACCCACGCTCAACTCGTGGAAAAACCACAGGGCAGGGGACATGGCAACCTACCATTATATTATTACAGCTACTTAACACAGATTTACGCATGCACTCACACACTGAAAAACACATCGGTTTGTTTTTGAGTTATGATGTGTTTATAGAGCTTGTATTGCATTACTTTTTCACTTGTTGCAGTCAAAAACCAAGAAAAAAACACAATCTGATGCAGGTTTCATCCCACTCGAATAATTTCAGTCTGAACACGATTGAGAAAAACATCATCAGATCACATATGTCGACATGTTTAACACTTCTACGTATGTTTAGTTCTTTATTAATTTAAGCAAACACTACAGATGTGCAGAAAAAAGCACGACTAACCAGCAGCTTATTATTCTAGTGATGACTATCATGCGTCTCCTGCTGTTCTAACTGTTACGACACCGATTACGTGTCGTGCGGTGTTGTGGTTACGGCGCGAACCGCTTTCCTGCTCGATCTGGTATCAGTTTGAGTTTGTTATCGTTATGCGCCTCCTGTATTAATACGGCCTGAACCCGTAACAATCAGAAACACATTGTTCCAGTCAGAGTTATGAAAGCAGCAGCGAAAGAAGGAAAAAACACAGGAGGAGAAAGTAAAACAGCACATCAAAAGGCCGACTTTACGGGATGCAGAGAGTGGGGAGGGAGGCGTACTCGGTTCTGAAGAATCTTACACGCAGTTGTGAAAGTATGCGAGTTTTAGATGCATTCGCTGGACGCTGCGATGGAACAAATTTGAGATTAAAGGCGACATCGCTGGTCGTGTGTGACGTAGGTGTGATCTGTGAAAGAAATGGTCTGATCAGTGATGGGGACCAATAAGAGGTTGACTCAACAGAAAACAGCAAAAAAACAATGTAATACTTAGAAATCTGCTTTTCTCAAGATGAGACAAACTTTGTTAATGTCTCACCAGGAAATTTAGATGTTACAGGAATTTGATGCAAATGAGATGGAAGAAGAAAGACAAGAAATACAAAAGTACATTAAGGCTAAAAGTATAGATTTAATAAATACTATTCACGTACATGTATAGATGTGTTGTGGATCAGTGGTTAGCACTGTTGCCTCGCAGCTAGAAGGTCGCCGGTTCGTGTCCCGGTGAGGACACCCGGGATCTTCCTGTGTGGAGTCTCCAATGTTCTCCCCGTGCAGCGTGGGTTCTCTCCAGGTTCTCCGGCTTCCTCCCACAGTCCAGAAACATGCTGAGGTTAATTGGTGATTGTAAATTGTCCGTAGGTGTGAATGTGAGTGTGCTTGGTTGTCTGTCTCTAAGTGTAGCCCTGTGATAGACTGGTTACCTGTCCAGGTGAACCTGCCTTCACCCTGAGTCGGCTGGGATAGGCTCCACCCCCCATAGTGAGGATTAAGGTGTAGAGATGATGGATGGATGGATTTTTCTTGACATTTTTCTTGCTAATTTGATAATTTCCATCACAATTCTAAAACATATTCAATTAAGACAAAGAAAAATCACATATATGCTGAACTTCTTAAAACATGTTGACATATTCAACCAAGTCAACATTGCTTCAGTGAAGCCAAAGACATTGATAACCAGTGGTCTGTGTCTGGATTTATATGTTTTTTTATGCTGCTACCAAGGAGTTATTCATAATTAACGTCTTTCTGTTTCTTACTCGCTCAGGTTGGATCACGTCAACGTGGTCGCAGCTCGAGAAGTTCCAGAGGAAATGAAGAAACTCGTGGCCACCAACGACATGCCGCCGCTGGCCATGGAGTACTGTCAGGGCGGAGACCTGAGAAAGGTAAAAGTCGGGTCTGCATGCGTGTGGCTGATGTCACTGACACTGAGCCCGAGGAAATTTGGGTCAAACAGTTGAATCACACTGAATCAGACAGGAGTGGGAATCATGCGTTGGCACTTTTTGTTGAGCCACTTTTCTCTCAGCGAAAGGGCTGAATGTGTAAACCGTTACTTCCTTTATGTGTGTACATCAGGGTCAGAAATTACATGACAGCGTGCATCGAAGCTGGAACCACAAATGTGACTGTTCCTCGCATCTTTTTGTGTTTCTCAGCTCCGATTTGTCCTGGCAATTGTTTGGGGCATAAATGTGGTGCAGTTTTTTTAATTTGAAACCATGCGAGCCTGAGGGCAGCCGGAGAGGAAAACGCCAACCATCACAAACCGCAGTGTCATAAAAATTTCAAAGCATCCCAGATGGTCAAAAACTAAGCGGCCGAGTTGGGGGCAGATGGAGCGGTTTGTGGGCGCAGAAACAGCACCGTCCTCTTTTGTCACAAGTTTCCAACAGTTTAATGATTTTGTTTAAAATAAAATAAAGTCTTTACAGCTCAAGCGCTGTCAATTTGAAAAAACTTGCTAATAGAAATGCTCCAAAAAATCAAATGACGTGTGCAAAAATGTGAAAAAGGTTCCTGAATCTGGGCCTCATTTATAAAAACAATACACTGAATAATGGAAGAACAAAAGAGCAGGAAAGTTCAATAAAAAAAGACAGATTAATGACTGCTTTCCTGTGCCCGATTGTGTTTTTTTCCACGTTTGGCTCACGTTGTTCAGCTCTCGAGTGTCTGTGTTTGTTCTCTCCGCAGTATCTGAACCTGCTGGAGAACTGCTGTGGAATGAGGGAGGGCTCCGTTATGATTCTGTTACGCGATATTTGTGAGTATTTCGCTCGGACTTCAAACGCGACTCTTTGTGACGTCTGAAGTCGTGTGAGTGTGCGTGGGAGAGTGATGTATTAGCCGGGTGAGGGAGTGAGCTGGCACCGTGATTAGCTCCCTGCAGTATGGAGGAAATGGATCTGGTGAACGGTATCATGATGTCATCAGCGACCCTAAACCCAAAAAAACCTCTTAGTCACCATGGCGACAGCTCACACTCATACATATGCTCACGTCAACAATCGGACTCTTATACTTTGTATTTTAAACATTAGATAGTAGCGCTGACATCGACCCGCGCTGAACGTCTGTCGTCGCATAAACAGGTCCATATGGTGTGGATCACATTTATGTAGACGAGGACACACACACACACACACACACACAGAAACTCCTTTTCCTGTTACCCACTGGTGCACGTTTCCTGATAATGACTGATCACCTTTAAACCATGAGTGAAGGGAACAACACTGGCATGTCCATCCACACCCACAAACCTACGCACACACACACACACACACACACACACACACAGTATCAGATACCTAAAGGTTACGAGTTCCGCTTCGCTGAACACTCTGTGCCAACACATGCACTAGTCACCGTGTGACGCACTAGTGAAGTGACATTAGAGTTTCAGTCGTGAATCCAGGCAAAACTTATTAACTTACCTCCAGTTACAACTGACTACACGTTTGCGTGACTCCTCCAGGTCTCAACACCGGCTAAAAGTCTTGTTCTCGCTGACCTCTGGTGGTTTAACTTCTCACGTTGCTCACATGTTACATGTGGGTTCAGGGTGTGTCGCACGTTTCCTGCCATGTTTATCAATGATGCTGGATATGAAACCATCTATACAGGGCAGCGCTTTACCCCGTAGAGCACAGCTAACAGTGATCACGATTTGGATTCACACAATGAAATGATCACGACTGACTGCAGGATGTGACGTTCAAAGTGAGCTTGTAGGAAAGTCCACTCGTAAAAAAAACAGTTCATGTAGATAAAATTCCTGAGTTTCCACTTGGGTAAACTTGAATCATGTGTTGGTGCAACCATCTGAGAAAGTTGGCATCACCAGTGCTGCCAGTAGAAAGGTTCGCCTGAAGCCCTGTTATTACTTGTTAAACCTTTTTCTCCTGGTCTTTATTCAAAAATAGGCTATTAAGAATTATCAATAACTGTCATCATGAAATATTTTAGCGTGATACGTTTCTCAGCTAAATCATACATCCAAGAAAAAACCCTTTTGTGGCTATAAAGGGAGCTGCACAGTCTGCTGAAGACCAAGTTTTAAAAAAAAATTAATTAGGCCATGAAGAAGAAGAAGAAGAAGAAGAAGAGATCTCACCTCTGTAGCTTAACACTGAGAGCTACAAGACCATACTGTTGCCAGTCAAGGTGCATTGTGGGTAATGTAGGTGATGGATGGTGACAAGGAAGAAAAATGACAACATCCTTTGTTGCTGCATTTATTTACCTTTGTGCATCTTCAGTGTCAAGCTGTGTGTTCTGAGTCTAAACGAATCAGTTGAATGACTTGTTCAGCTGCGGTGTCCCTGTTGAAAATCCTGCAGCATTAAAACGACGTGACCACAAGCTTCTCTCTGGATTTTCAGTCAGTTACTTGTATTATGAAAGGATAATTTCTCCGGCACAAATGAAAGCAGTGCAATATTTACATCAGAGTCTGACTCATATTGCATTTTTGAGACTGAAACCAGTACTGATGCTTCATTTGTTCATTTGTTTGAATAAGAATCGCCCCTGATCTGCTGAGAAATCTAATCTGTAGTTCCTCCCTGGTGGACAAACAGATGTTTTTATTGCAATCACTTGTTATTATCAGTCCTCATATGCATTATTCTTGTTTGCATACAGCATTAATGTTATTCTCATGAGATGGAGCCACGAGTCTCTCTCAGGTTTATAAAAACAAATTGCACCTACAAATGTTAATCTATATATTCATGTACAATGCTTCTTTTGCAGCCTTTTCATGCTTCCTTCTTTATTCCTTCTTCTTTCAGCTTCGGCTCTGACGTACCTCCACAAGAAGAGGATCATCCACAGAGATCTGAAACCAGAGAACATTGTGCTGCAGCAGGGAGAGAAGAGGGTGAGTTAAAGACTCTGTGAACCATATTGTTGTGGCAAATACACCCAAACCACAACAAAGAGACGTTTGGCCTCCGTGTGGGTTTTGTGGAATAAGCAGAAGAGACTCGTCTCTCTCTCACGTCCACATGTTTACCCTCGCGCTGAATACTTAATGTGGAAAACTCAATAGTTTAAACTTGTCCTTGCAGTTACAAGGAACTTTGGGGATCAACTTGCCCTTACCTTCCTCTGTGGGCTCCCTTTATTCTGTCCATTATGTAACAGATCATAGCATGTGATCCTCTGGCCTGCTAGAGGATGCAGCAGATTGAAGGACGTTATATAACCGAGGGCAGACTTATTAAAGAGGTTATATATTCATGTTTGTGCGCACGCTGCAGTCTTTATAGAAACGGAGCCAAACAAACTTTATCTGTGTTAAGTTTATAGTTTTTCATGAACTCTTGTTTTTGTCTTGAGAGACAGTAAATCCTTAATTTCTGGTGCGGAAGATTTTTAAAACAGAAGTTAAGTACATTTTCCCCTCATGTAGGTTCTCAGGATTTAAAGGAGTAGTTCAGTATTTTTGGAGTTGAGAAGATCGATACCTGCATGCATTAAACTGGAAGCTGCAGCGGCCAACTAGCTGAGCTCATGAAGGATTAGAAACAAGAAGAAACAGCTAGCTGGGCAAAGAAGATCTGCTTACTCTCCAGCTCAGTTTTTTTTTTTGTCAAATCCCATCAAAATTCAATACATAAAAACACCAATTTTCCATTTTATAGTACTTTAAAGTAGTTGCAAGAGTGGCATTGATGCACCAGAAAACAACATCTGCTTTCCAAGAATTTCCCAAAATATCAAAATATACCTTTAGTTTGTCCATTTTTAAATTCTGAAGTTACCGTGTAAAGTGCCCTGAGTTTGCTTATGTCATAAACTGACAGCATAAAAATTAAATTGAATATATTTTGTGAGCAAATCCGACTTTCTTTCTTTCTTTCTTTGCTCAGCTGATCCACAAGATTATAGATCTCGGCTATGCTAAGGAGTTGGACCAGAGCAGCCTTTGCACGTCGTTTGTTGGAACGCTGCAGTACTTGGTGAGTAATTACACTCGACCTCCGTTGTCACATTCTGAATCGTAAAACCTGAACCGGTGTGTTTTTCTCTTAACTTCTTCTTTCAGGCTCCGGAGCTCATCGAGAGGCAGAAGTACACGGTCACTGTGGACTACTGGAGCTTCGGGACTTTGGTGTTTGAGTGTATCACAGGATTTCGGCCGTTCTTACCAACCTGGCAACCGGTTCCCTGGTAGTTGTCAGAAATTCTTATACCTGAAATGAACACGTCTGTTGCTACAGTCTGGCTTAATGAAACTGCACAATGCTGTGATTTAGTGTTTCACAATGATAAGTTTTATGGCAGGTAGATGTTTTTGTTTCGTGACTGGACTTTAACGCTCAGTGAATATAGGAATAAACAGGAGCTTTCAAAGAATTGCAGGATACGTGGGCTGTGCCAACGTCAATGTCCCTCGGTCCTCACTGTGGAAGTCGAGGGGCGTCTGCTTGACGCAGAGCAAAAACACTTTCCCATAATTGCAGAAACTCTGTCTCTGTGTATCAGGTCAGACTTGACCACAATCAAATTGAGGATAAAATGGAAAACAAATAGCACACTCATAAAAAAGATATTTAACTCAAAACCAGATTGTTTTCTCTTATGTAATCCATCTGTATGCTTTTTAGGCACAATAAACTCAGCATGAAGCAGGACGATGACATTGCTGTCTACGAGGACCTCAGTGGGGAAGTCCACTTCTCCAAGCATCTGCCACAACCCAACAACCTCAACAGGTGATTTTATGTGTGACGCACATGCTTGCATGAAAATGATCATTTAAGACACTTATTATCTCAGTCTGATGCGGTTGTCTGGCAGTCTGTTATTAGAGAAGCTGGAGAAGTGGCTGCAGCTGATGCTGAAGTGGTCTCCTCAGGAAAGAGGCAAAGACAGCAGCGCTACACCCAGCGACTGCTTCTCCCAGCTGGAGCTCATACTGAAACTCAAGGTTAGCTGAGAAACGCACTGATGTATTTGTTCACTTTGTCTCATTTACTCCCATGTGAGCGCACTGTGGTGAGACAAAACAACGACTTAAAGGCAACTTTCCTAACTTTAAAACCCCCTGCAGTGAAAGTTTAGTTGTTGTTTTTTTAACCTTGTTAGCACGTCCGTATGGTGTTTTTTAATGTACTAGGAAACATAAAATGAGTGGAAAAAGCACCATGTAACTCCAGTGTACCTTTAACTGTTTAAAAACAACGCATATTTAAATTTCCAGTTACACATGTAGAGTTTCTACTTCATACTTCATCGGTCTGTTTATTAGAGAAAGATAGTTACATCCAAATGATGCACACAGATGAGTTTTTAGAGGTCAGATCAGTAACCACAGGGGTTAGGGTTTGGATTGCTTCACTCAGTATGTTTACATTTACTTCTATGTTCGTGTTCTTGATGCTCCTTTAGCTGGTTCACGTCGTGAACATGATGTCCGCTAAGATCCTGACGTACTCCGTTTCGAATGATGAGACCGTCGCCAACCTGCAGCTGAGAATAGAAAAAGACGCCAAAATCCCGGCGGCCAATCAGGAGCTGCTGGTGGAGGCGGGGATAGCCTTGGAGCCTAATGGGCTGCTCAAGCTGTCCATCATAGATTACATGGTAATGTCAAACATAAGCACTGTACATGCAGCGCTTTGGCAGAATGTTCAAGAGCTGAATGTGATGATGCTTTGAGTCAGATTGTTGTTATCATCTGTGTCCGTAGAAGGTGGATGGGCGGCGGACGGACTTGCCTCTGGTCTTCCTGTTTGATCGCTCGTCTTGCAATTATGAACCCCAGTTTGCTCCTCGAACGCTTCCTGAAAATATCCGTTATGTCCGTGAGTATAAAACTTGTTTTATTCCCAACTCAGGATATTAAAAAAATATATCTTTTTTTAGGATTTACTTATCTTAACAAAAAAAATTTTAATAATTTGTTTAATATCATATGCAGATAAGGTTATATCATATTTAAGGTTAAATTATACATAAACAAACATTGTAGTCCTTAAAACTTCAAGCTTGACTCATACTTTGTTAATATTTTTAAATAAAAAGAACCACAAATTGGGCTGCAGGTGGCTCGGTGGTTAGCACTGTTGCCTCGCAGCTAGAAGGTCGCCGGTTCGCGTCCTGGTGAGGACACCCGGGATGTTTCTGCGTGGAGTCTCCATGTTCTCCCCGTGCAGTGTGGGTTCTCTCCGGGGTCTCCGGCTTCCTCCCACAGTCCAGAAACATGCTGAGGTTAATTGGTGATTCTAAATTGTCCGTAGGTGTGAATGTGAGTGTGCTTGGTTGTCTGTCTCTAAGTGTAGCCCTGTGATAGACTGGTTACCTGTCCAGGTGAACCTGCCTTCACCCTCAGTCAGCTGGGATACACTCCAGCCCCCCACGACCCTAGTGAGGATTAAGCGGTCTATAGATAATGGATGGATGGATATCTGACTGTGTGTTCCTCTCTTTTATGTCTCATAGAAACCGACCCTACGAACCTCCTGGCTTACAGCGCTCTGAGGAGGACTTGTGGCCAGGCGTGGCACACCATCCGCTCTCTGAAGGAAGACTGGCAAAGACTGCAGCAGGGCCAGAAAGCCGCCATGTAGGACGGCACACCGACGCACACACAAACTCCTCCCTGAACATGCATCTGTTAGATACGGTAAACAAATACGTTCTCCGCTTTCTTACAGCATGAGCCTGCTGAGACACAACTCTTCACTGTCCAAACAGAAGAACGAGATGGTGTCCATGCACCAGAGACTCACGGCCAAACTGGACTTCTTCACCACCAGCCTTCACATTGACATGGACAAATACCAGGAGCAGACGGCCACCGGGATCGGTACCGTGTCACCACTTTGTGTTTGTGGACAGCAGGAAATTTGAGCTCAAGCTACTGTTAGAAATGATCATTTCGGACTTTTAAGTTGCACATCTGAGATTTTTAAATCCAGCATAAACTTATTTATCCAGACTTGACTCAATCTGCAATCTGACTCATGGTTAATGTCCTTCTAGCATCGGAGAAGCTGGTGGCTGTGTGGAAGGAGATGGAACAAACTGCTGTCAGCTGTGGTCAGGTAGACTCGAGTGTGTTCCTGTGTTTGCAAGAAATATTCCCGTGTGCTTTAAAAAGACTGAAATGCATGTACTGGTGTGTAGGCCAAGGTGGCTGAACTGGAGGAGGAGATGATGCAGCTGCAGCCAGACATCGTGGATGTGCAGAGGCAGCCATGGAGGAGTGGAGAGACCTTGGACACACTGTAAGTCTGAACCAAACTTCTCTGTAAAAACAACAGAAAGAGCTGCTCTGTGATGTCGGACTCTGCTCTGTCCCCGTCTTTGATCCGCAGCGAAGGAAAAGCCATGGAGATGTTCCGCAAACTCAGAGAGAAACCCAGAGGTTTGGATTTTTCACGCTTTAGTTCACTTTTTATTTAACACTCGTCACGGTGCCTGCAAGTGAAAACAAACCTCATTTTGTATTCTCCTGGTTTTCCTTCCTCTTTCCTTCCCTCTGCTCAGACCAGAGGTGCTCAGGAGACACTCAGGAAGTGGTTCGTCTGGTGTTCCAGGCTGTGCAGTTCTACGAGAGGAAGCTCAAAGATTTCTACACACACCTCAGGTACATATTTTTACTAAACTCTGAATGTAATTCCAACTGCTGAACTTCCATTTGGGCTCCTTCACATCTCCTAAAAATCCCAGAAATGCCTATGCTGGTCCATTATGTGGATTTGTTGAGCAAAGCAGGTGCCAGCTTACAGGCAGACTGACAAAGGGACTTTATCAAAGGTCACGGCATGATTTATTGTTATTATGCAGATAAATAATCAGCTGCTACAATGCACAATGAACAGCTTAGTCAGATATGTGCCCTCATTCAAGTCAAGGATACCTTTGTGTCAAAAATACTAGTTGCATAACTTCAATTAATCTCAAAACTGACTTCTAGCTCTTAAGTTCCTGCCAAACTGTCCCAGTTGTATGCATACCGCATCCAGCAGCGCGTACTTTGTAAGGGCACTTGCTGGACACACTGAATAAAAAAAAACCCACCAAGTTTGTGATTTAGAAAGCAGGGATGGTTCCTGTTTGGACCCTTTTGAAGGGAAGAGCAGAAGAATGTTGCTCCATGATTCAACCAAATGCTGTTTGAATAAAGAGGAAATTGATGAAAGGAGCAAGTCAGCATGTGGTTCTCCTCCTCTGAGCAGCATGTACAACCCCAGCAGCCTGGAACTAGTGCATCTACACTGATTCTAGCTGTTTTTTAATGATACAAATTAGACTTTTTCCTGCTCTGACAAAGTGTAGTTTTGTTTGGAAACAGAAAAAAAGGGCGCTTTTGCAGCATATATATTGAAATGCCAAAGCAGGAAAAGCACAAGTGTAGATAAGAGCTTCAAAATACTGATGTTATTAGCCACATATCTGCTGTTTCTGTTTCTTGAAAAATGTCTGTAGGAAGAAAGAAACAAACAGAAGATTAAATTATTTTTCATTCTGTCTAATCTGGACTCACCCACACAACTCTGAGAGCAGCCCTAATGAGGCAGAATGAGTGAAAACACTCTCTGGTGACTTATTAACATTTAACTGTCATGTAATGGCAAAGTGTTAGTGACAAACTATTATATTTATAACAGTGTGAAAAGTCACAACCTTTTATTAATTAAGGATTTCTTTTTAAAATACGCAATCCAGTCCGCGGTTACTGTCTGTTTCCAGTGCCATTATTAATAAATGGTTGTGGGTAAAGGCTGAAGGCTAACCCGTCCAGACCAGCAGGACCGTCGCTGCTACCTGTCCGCTCCCTCCACAACGAGCTGGACGAGCTACGGTTGTTGGGAGAAACCTGCGGAGAGTGGAGGGACTGCTGTGTGTTTGCTTTAACAGAAACACGGCTCCATGATAACATCCCAGACGGACATACAGCTGGAGGACTCCAGGACTCCTCACATCCTCTCCATAAACTGTTTGGCCATCAGGCAAACGTTTCCGGAGCACTGAAGGAATAAACCTCCAGACTGATCAACAGCTTCATTCCACAAGCTGTCCGAATGCTGAACTGCTGATCCAGACATGCAAACACGTCTTTATTTAATTGCTTTTAGTTCTTGGATCCTGAAGAAGCGCTCCCTCATCTTGTTTGTTCTGCTGTTGCATGTGCAGCAAAATGACAATAAACTTGATTTGGATGCTCCAAGGATCCAGAGGAGCAAAGGATCTTGTTTGCAACTTGGTAAAATTCTGCTTTTGTGTTTGTGTGTTGCGCAGTAAGACAGCAGTGTGTCGCCAGCGCGTGATGGAGCTGCTGCCGAAGGTGGAGGGCGTGGTGCAGAAGATGGCGGAGAGCGAACAGGTCCTGATGAATCTGCAGGAGAGGCGGCAGAGGGAGCTGTGGTTCCTGCTCAAAGTCGCCTGTGTGAGGACGCATGAACAGTTCACAGACACACTGAGGTTGCAGTCAGATAGTCAAAAACATGACATCCTGGGTGTTTTCCTAAACATTTCTCATGACATTTGCCATCGAGGTGAAGGAAAAATGTTCACTAATATGTACTTAGCGATGCACAAACACTGAAGGATTCATTTGGAATATCTGCTCCAGCTACAGCTTATCTGTTTTGTAATATCTTCCACAATAGGCAGGTGCAGTAGATTGTATTAACGTACACAGAATGAAGTGCATCTTCTTGTCTTGTGCAGAGCAAAGTTCGCAGCCCGGTGAGCGGGAGTCCCGATGGCTTACGAACACCTTCGTCGGTGCCGCCCCTGCTGACGCCCAGACACAGCTTACAGCAGCTGTGAGTGCACTTACAAGCACATGCACACCACACAGGTGTTTGACAAAGGTTTCTATTCAAGGATGAAGGCCTTGTCCACGCATACACAGGTGTTGTCAGACGCAGCTTTTTGCAGCAACCCAAGTGTTTAGGGTGCATAGCACAGACCACCAAGTGGATGTCGTTCCCCTGTTCTCTTTCCCCACATTAGGTTTTCATTCAATAGTCAGTATCCAAAAAAAACACAAACAAACAAAACATTTCTATGTGTTGTGGCTTTTCGTCCACACAAAAATGAAGTTTTAGGTCACTGAAAACAGCTTTAAAAAAACTCGTTCCTTGGCGCAGATATTCAGAAACTGTTTGCAGTGTCGGTGGCTCGGTGGTTAGCATCGTCGCCTCACAGCTAGAAGGTCGCCGGACACTCGGGATCTTTCTGTATGGAGTCTCCATGTTCTCCCCGTGCAGCGTGGGTTCTCTCCGGGTTCTCCGGCTTCCTCCCACAGTCCAGAAACATGCTGAGGTTAATTGGTGATTGTAAATTGTCCGTAGGTGTGAATGTGAGTGTGCTTGGTTGTCTGTCTCTAAGTGTAGCCCTGTGATAGACTGGTTACCTGTCCAGGTGAACCTGCCTTCACCCTGAGTCAGCTGGGATAGACTCCAGCCCCCCACGACCCTAGTGAGGATTAAGTGGTGGATAGATGATGGATGGATGGATGTTTGCAGTGTTGACATGTAGACAGGGAAAAACAGAGGTTTTGGCAGAGTGTGTGATTTTCTAATTTGTTTGAATGAGGTGTTGATCTTTAGTTTATCGAAAAACTCCAACGTTGGGATCAGTCCACACACATGATTTCCTTCATCTTTGATGCACCATTGTTGGTATCTCTTTTCCTGGCTTCTGACTGGCCACAAGACTTTCAGAGTTCGGGTCATCAAGTGACAGTTTGGCATATTTTTGTCTCAGCTGCAATCATGTTTATGTGTTTCATGTGAACAGGATTATTTTTATAGAATGGAGAAGAAAAACACAGTTTTAAATCTTTAGTGTGGACCGGGGCTGATGCTCCCATTGTGTCAAAGCCCTGAACCCCAGGCAGTTTTGGGATATTTGTTGTTTCAATCCCATTTTTACTAACTGAGGGGGCATGTTTCCCTGCAATATAAAGACCAGCACAACCACAGCTAGAAGTAGAGATAACTCTAAGTCAAATTTTATTTTAGAGAATTTTTGTTACAAGACTGTTGGTTGTAGATTTGTCACTAACGGCTTCACGGTTGTGCTGAGGAGTGCAGAATTTTTCATTTTTTACATTATCTGGTTGACAAAATAGCTGACTTATTGGCAAACTTTTAGAAGAGGCATGTTGAATGCAGTGATTTTGATGAGATGTTACGATTAGATGTGGTTAACTTTTCCGATGAAACCACCACATCATTATATTTATGCGTACATTATATTTTTACGATTACTAGCTCTGAGAAATGGGGTCATTTTGGTGATTTTTAAAAAGATAACACATCTTTCCACCTGCCAGTGGGTTTTGGGGTTCAGAGGGTTAATGTTGGTGAGGCCAGAAAGTCACTTTTCTAATAAAACTTCACTTGACGTTTTACACAAATAGTAGGTATTTGAATTTGTTAAGATTTTCACATATTTTCCAACCACTTAAGTCAAAGCGGTAGGAGTTTTCTTGTACTCATGACTCCTCATAAACCTACATTTCACACCAACTAGTTTTCCTCGGAAACAGAATTTCTTTAGAAAGCACAAACACTTGATGAACTTATCGAGGCCACGAGTAACATCTGCATGAATCACCGGGTGTGTCTGCAGAGATGAGTCTCTTTTGGAGGAGAGCAGGACGTTCGAGAGTCGCCTCCAGAGTTTGCTGCACGACACCATCCAGGAGTCGGAGAGCAGCATGGAGGTATGGACACAGTCGGGCGCTGGTCTCACTCTGATGTGTGTTTACGGCTGTTTTTATTGTGTGTCTCTGAACAATGTGCGAAGACAATTAAAAAAGCAGAACGTTTTGTTTTTGTCCTAGATGCTGAGGGAGTGGACGTGGCTGAATGGAGGCCAGAGCTTCTCCAGCGACCTCTCCTATACCGGGTTTCATTCTTAGCGTACGCGTGGTACTCTGCTGCCCCCGTGGGGATGGGATGTCAAACTACACGGGGACGTACGACCAGCTGCTCCGTCTGGTGTAGTAGCTGCTGGCACATATTTGCTTAATGAGATTACATACTCTTGTCTGACTTTGTAGGGATAAAGAGGATAAATAATGCCAACCTGTAGTGCACTGAAGCAAACTGTATCACTCATTACAGTTACTGTCAGAGGGATCCACTGGAGTGTGGTCTCATTATTTACCGTTGTGTAGCTTTAATAGAACATTTTGGGTAAAATTGCACTTCATTAGGCACCGATCAGCCGGGTATTGTTGAATCAGATGATCCTTGAGTAACAACAGGTTTATCAAGTCTCAGTGAGACCATAAACATACATTCCTACGGTGCTTTTCATTATGATAAATTATGATCTTCACATCTTGTTTCCTTCCGTTACTCAGAAATTGGGGGTCTTCCAATGTCTTAAATGCACCTCAGAGAGAGAGAGGAGGCTTCTGGAGGAGATTAGAGAGGAAACACACTTGTATCCTACCTCTTGTGTCCTAGCTGGGAGGAGCTAGGACACGAGAAAGAGACACGTTAGTAAAGCAGCCCCACAGTCCCACTGTTTATGTAGAGGATTACACAAACAGATGACATGTATTACCTTTAAATTTACATATAATCTGGGGAATGTAAATATGTAAAGACGTCTTGCTGAGATTGTAAGGAGAAATATTTCCGTCTTGGGTTTGGAGCTGTTTTTTTGTTGAACTTCAGAAACCACAGATTGTACCTTAGGACTTATGTACATTCATCTTAAGCACAAAAGAGTGTTTTAGTTCTGTTCTGTCATGTCCTGACCCTGAGCTGGGTATCTGGGCCTATATTTTTTTATTTTAGGTTCTATTATAGTAAGACAATCATTTAGCAATATGGGTGACATGTGTAACTGTAAAGTGTTGTCGCTGAATGACTGCGTGACTGTTTTTTTTTACTTGGATCGTTGATGATGTGGAAGTCAAGATCAGGAACGTCTGCAGCACACGGTGCAGTTTAGTTACATGTGAAAAGTTTGTGATGTTAAATTTTTGTTGAGATGTTGGATGTTTGGTTGGACAGAGAGAAAACACACGATTGATGGTCTGAAACGGATTTCGAAGCGTGTCCTTATATGAAATTCAAAATATGTTGAATTTATGGATCGTAACCAAACTGTGAACGCAGCTACAGAACTGACTTGATTAGTGTTTTATTCATAGCAATTCATTTTTATTGAACTTTGACTACGATGTCAATTCAATACGGCACAGCTGCAATATTTTATTCACATTTCGCCTTAATTCCAACATCTGGAGACAACACTGTAATATAGAGCCTGCAAAGTGATGTTACATCTTGTCTATTGTGTGTGTGTGTACAAACCTTGTGCTGTTAAAATGCAAATTTTAGACGTTTCTATCATAATTTGGTATCTTGTAAATGGTGTTTTCTTTGATTAATTTCCATTTTGATGGGAATGAGGGCACTGGTTTTCCTTTTCTTTTCACCTGCATGTAAATCAAAACCAAATAAACACACGGTCCGTTTAGTGTTTGACATTCTTTATTCCATTTATTCAATAAAATCACTTTGAGGTCCTAACTGTTGACTAACTTTCCTATACAAAGCACAGCACAGATAAAGTGAAATGTAGTGGTAAAGGTTGAACAGGTACAGGACACAAAACGTGACAAGACAAAGAGGTGACACAGAGATCCAAATTGCCGTCGGCCCCTTTTACCAAACAGGACCTGAAAAAATAGATATTTAGGCAACTGAGGGTTCACAGTTAAAAACTGCGTTACTGAGGTCAACTGGTGGCATCAGAGTCAGCCCACTCAGTGTGAGAAGTGTGACCCGTCTTTTCCAGCCTCTATTGCATCTGTTTACAGTCACTGTACTTGTCAATATGACAATGAAAAGTCAGAAAACTTCCCTCTAGCCTTAAAAGCATGCAACAAAACCACAATATACCAAAACAAGCTTCCTCTAATGATCCTACTAAACCCAGAATATAGCTGAACCCAACTTGGCTGACCACGCAGTCAGAATAAAAAGGTGCTTTCAAAGGGAACACGGATATGTCTGAGACACAAAAGCTCTTTTGAAAGTGCACTTTGTGTGGTCAAACTGGTCATAAGTAGCACGTTACTGGAGAACAGCGGCGTTGCATGAATTACCCGCTGAGAAGTCTGTTCTTTTGCTGTATTGTGATAATATTTATGCTCAAAAACTATTGTGTGGGAACTGTAAATGTTGTACAATTGAAAGGAAATAATGCATGATGCTTTTGAAATTACAGTACTGGAGGTCTTGGAGGCTGCTTGGGGTTTCAGGGTTAAGGCCAAAGAATGTGTGCATCTGTGCGCATGTGTGTGCAGGACTCAGAGGGAAGATGTGTTTTTAACGTGTCGCTGAGTGGACCTTTGCCATGTCGTCACATTTGGGCTCTTTATTCGTCTCCTGTTGCTCTCCACCTCCTCCTCCTCCTCCTCTTCTTGTCTGCCGTCTTGCCTTTACGCCTCCAGCTCGAAGCCCATGCCCACCTTGTGTCCGCCTCCGTTCACGTTCTTCCCGTCAATCAGAGCTGAGAGGGTGAGCTTCACTCCTGCAGACGAGGAGCGACACATTAACCAGCTGTACCGATGAGCTGTGGGTTGTTTTTTGTGACAGAAAACACTTGAAGTCAATCAGCTCACCTGTCCTGAGGGTATGTGTGTATCCGACTCCGACGAGGCAGGCGTTGTTGACCTTGGTCTGCGAGGAGCAACGCAGCATCAGAGACAGGTGAGATGATCACGAACACAGCATTGGGTTATATAATTTAAATCATATATATATGGATACGTCAGCTTCAGGTCAACAACTGCAGAGGAGTTAGATGATGGTGCTTCAGAAGTGTGTGAGGTAGCGAGTGTAGGATTTGGACGTTTTTGGCTCTGGGGATGCCAACGTTAGGTTTGAAATATCAACAACTGTTGGTTCTTGGAACATTAATAGATAAAGATTCTCTGACTTTTTTATCAGCAGGCTCACATTCTGGGGTTTTTGTGAAACATGCTGACAACTACAGGATATATCATCATATTTTGTACACACAAGGGGAAATCTGTCAGATAGTTTATCATCAAATACTCTTAGGAACAAGCTGTACCTTGTGTTTAGAGCTAATAAGCAAATCTTAAGGTGCCAATACAGCAACTCAGGTGACTACAGTAAACAATGTTATTACACATTTAGCTCAAAACTAGTGATAAAAGGTTTATTTATAAGCTGTGTTTTGAGATGTTCTGAGGTCAGCTCTTACAGCCACAGAGGAATCCTTATCCAGCTGGTACTTGGCTCCAATTCCAAAGCGTGTGTTGTTGCTGCCCGCTGTCCAGGCCAGGTGGACCGCCGTCTCCAAGTTGCTGTCCACCTTTTGGTAAATGGAGCCACCGAACTCTGTGCCGTCGTTCCTAAAACACAGCAGCAGAAACACGATTTAGGAACAGAGGAAAAATACAAGTAGTCCAACTGTCCGACTTCCGTTTCCTGCTCGTCTGTTCTGGGACGCAGTGACTCACACGTTGGTGTGAAGCTGGAAGTCACCAGCCTTGTATCCAAGGGCAAAGTTGTTCTGAGTCAGTTTGGATTTGGCAGTGTCGAAAGCCAGCTGGTAGCCGGCCAGCCAGCCCTCGTAGCCCAGCACAGCAGCTGCGTGGACAGTGGGACCCGCCATGTCGAAGTCCAGGTCACAGCCCACATTCACAAAGTCCCGCTTGTAGCCGGTCTTCAGTTTGGCACTCTTCTTGCTAAAGAAAGCCATTGAGATAGCAGAATTACATTAACAATCAAACTACCAAACTATTTACTCTGATTTTAGTTTATTTAAGACATGAACGGGGTTCCTCTTACCCGGTGTTGGGCACAAATGACGTGTCCAGTCCGAGCTTCAGGCCCTGAGCCAGCTGCAGACAAGAGGCACATGAATATGAAGTAAAATCTTTTCACATGTTGCTTAAAGCGACTAATATCTTGTTTCTCTGACTCCACCTGGTCCTCCATGGTGATTTCTGTGGTGAGAGTGTTGTCTGTGTTCCATTTCTGGTTGAAGCTGAGGCCCAGCTCTTTCACTTTGTACTTGGTCTCCAGGTGGCCTCCCGACTTTCCCGTGTCTGTGTTGTTGGAGCCGGAGGTGGCAAACTCCTGCAGGACAAAGAGGGACGGAGCAATGAGGAGGGAGATGGAGGATGAGGTGGAAAGGGAAGCAGAATTAGAGCTACGGATACATAAACACTAGAGGCAGAGGGGAGGAGAATGCATAGAGGGATGGAAACAAGACGACGAGGGAAGCGAGCACTGCTTCTTTGCCTTTCCTCTGCCACACAATCCCTGTCAGGTTTGTACGGCTGGTTATTTACAAGAATAGCAACACCTTAAAGATAAGAGAAATGAGTTGGGAAGAGAAATCTAGGCAGGACTGTGAGGGAGAGGTCGGTTGTGAGCGTATTCTATTATCAGTGCTGTTACGGCTGCAGTTGGGGGGTAATGCTGGGACGAGCTGCAAGGAAACAGTTGGCAGGAAGCCCGCACACATCATCTGTCTGCACACAAACACATAACTGGCATCACTCGCTTACCCTGCAGTGCACCTGTGTTTAATCATTACTTATTCACACACACACACACACACACACACACACTCTCTCTCTCTCTCTTACCATCTGACAGGAGAGTCCAAAGAAGAAGCAGGAAAAAAAAAGAGAAAAGAGAGGAAATTAGGGAGAACCACACAGAGCTTACATGAGGAAATTTATCCGCTCACTGGGAAAACGAAAAGCTTGGAAACAGAATGAAAACATTTACGGTGTGTTTTTTTTCTCAGTGAGGTTTGTGGCATGTGGAAAAAGCAAGCGCCCATTTATGGTTTTACTATGGCAACAGGTTTATAGCAACACAGACACACAGCAAGTCTGAAGCTAAACACTTCTTCTTCTTCTTCTTCCCATTCTGATACGTTGCTCTAGAGAGGAAGGAGTAAACTCATCGGGCAGACAGTGTTTCTCTGCTGACTCTGGATGTAGCACACGTCAGGCAAACTCTGACACGAAGAGCTGCAAAGCTGTGAGTCAGCCATTTGATCTGAGCGCTCAGAGAGGCCTGCAGATGAAATTTAAACACAATCGGGGCTCACGGAGACGACAGTAATACTTACAACACCGCTCTGGGACTTGGTCTTAACATCGAGCTTCAGCACTCCGTAGCCTGGGGAGAAAGGAAATTGCAGAATTAAAAAAAAGAACTACAAAGAAAGGCTAGAAAAAACAAGAGACATCCTGGTGCTGCACAGTGTGGTTCTAAAAGCTGCAGCAAAAATAAACAGCTGTGACACGGAGTAAGAAAAAAAAAAGCTCTAATGTGACCCCTGCGTCAACACAACTTCTTGCAATAAAAAGACCAACATCGGGAGCGTTTGTTGACTTACCATAGCCCTTATTGAAGATGTCTTTGGCAGATTTTCCCAGGTCTGAGTATGCAGGAGGGACAGCCATTGTGCCTGAGGACACAGACATCTTCACATCAGTAAAACACACAGAAACACAGTTCACTGCATTAACTGATGCATTGTTGCTATAAAGGGATACTCCAACAGTAACACGTCTCCACAAAGTTGTGCAACTTGCAATAGATCGATTTTTTTTTTAAGTCTGTGCAGCAAAGGTTGAAATATCCTGATTCTTACTCTCTAGCATGGGTTCCTGAAGCCCACATTTCCCATGATGCAACTCCAAATCATCTCTCATTAGAGCCTCTCTACCTCAAACAGCCACATCTTTCATTCTCCTTCAGCTTGCATCACAGAGTTTCTGTTAGATTTTACACAGCACAGACTGACCAGTGCTCCCAGTGAGGCCTAAACTGATCTAACCAAACCAGTGGAGAGCCCCTTTAAGTCAAAATGCTTCACACACATACAAACTGAACACGACAAGGAGCTCCGCATGTGTTGCAGCTGAGCAGTGCAGCCCGGAGAGCACTTCCAAGGACACACAGGTTAAGAAGCGTTGCAGAGAGCGTTTTCTACCAAATATTTACTTGCAGACTACCAGTACACATCAGCCAGCAGGAGGGAGGTCTGTCTAGGAGCTGGTGATATCCAGCGCTTCTCCTCCCCCTCCGTCTTCCATGTAAGCCCTATTGATTGCCTGGCAGCAGGCCATCAGCAAGCAGCAGAGGTTGTTAAACTAATGGAGCCGTTTCTCTAGTTAGCAGCGACAGAAAATGTGCGACTAGTTTAAAAGACCACAAAGAACTTTTGTTGCATGAGTCACTACGGTGTTTAAACTAAAACAGCGTCCCCACTGTGACGGGACAGAGACGTATTATGTGCAGAAACACTATACAGGCCAATGCAGCAGAGCTAACACAAGCAGGAGCTGGATTGGTTAGTCAGCAACTACCAGTCCTGCACAGAACCGCACTGCACCGCTCCACAGTCATCAGGGTCCCCCGGGTCAGCGTGTGTGTGTGTGTGTGTGTGTGTGTGTGTGTGTGTGTGCATGCTGTGTCTGAAGAAGACATTTTTGACAAGGTGACTTTGCCGGAGCATTTACAATATCCTGCATTCACTCGGGAGCTAAAGCTGGTTTAATGTTTGACTACTGGCCGTGCTCCTCTGCTGCTCCCCGCCGACCATTAATCTCACCTCTTTTCTGCAGCGTCCGGAGGCTTTGCTGAGAGAAATACGGCCTCCATCAGCTAATGCATCCATGACTGAGCCAGGGCAGGCCATCGCATTCGGTCGTTGGAATTAGCACAGGGGTAATGGGGAAAGCTGCTAACATCATTATCATCTTGAGGTCTAACGGCCAAAGTGCAAACCAGGGACCCTGATGATAATCCATCTGTCGCTCTACAAGCACACACACACCCTCCACTCACCATGTCCCTTGGGTGCATGTTGGTGACATGTCACACAGTGGTCTTTGTTCTCTGCCTGCTTGCCTTTTCCTGTCTTGTCCTGCTGCACCACAATCCCCACTTTCTCTGCCATGTGTCTTCAGATGAGGGAAGTGAAGGAGGAGGGACAATAGAAAACTTTTGGCAAGACGTTGTGCATCTTTTTTGTTTTACACAGAACAGGGTCTTGTTTGAGGGCGTCTCTGAATGTTAACGTGCGTTTCTGCTGTACGGCTGTTGCGTCACGTTGTACATTATGTGCTACAGTAGATGAACATATGGACTTTGCGCACAACATGTGAACCTGATAAGGACTGTGTGCAGATGTGTGGTGAAGATCTGCTGCCTCTGTGCCCCTTACAAGAGCACTGATAACTAATCATACAAATGAGTTTGCAAGTTGGCGTCACAGCATCAGAGTGCTATGTGTACATTAATCTCTCTCCAGATGTACATGTTACACATTTACAAAGGTTGCTCTGTGGAAATCTTAAATATTTCTTTGAAATGACTAAAGAAGCAACAGCTAGAGTTAAAGATATCTTTAGTTCTTATTCATGAATTGTGCAATAACAGCATGAATATTTGCTTATTTACACATCCAGCAAAATATTAGTAGTTTCATTAACAGATATTTCAACTATATTCAGCTGATCTAAGAGAGAAAACTGTCTGAAAACAATGCACGAGATGGAAAAATCACTGACCAGACAGCAGAACAATGAGCCGGGACTCACTGATCTGCAGAATCAGGTCTTAATTCTCCACAGGTTCATCTCTACAAAGAACCTCTTTCACTGAGTCACTTCCTCGTGACAAAAATACCGATTGTAGCCACTTTAAGGAAAAATCAGGAAAAGACCACAAATGCAGAAATCTCTCAGTTGAAATGGTCAAACCGGATCTGACTTTGGAAGACATTTTTCCTTTCTTGGAAGCTTCTGCTCCCTCATGTCCTCTAAGATCTCCATCACTGTCAAACAGTCGTGTCCATCATCTCAGGCCTCGGTGTTGCTCATCATTTCTCAAACGGTCAGCAGCTACGTGCCAGCCGACCTGCTTTTTGCTGACCACGTACAATCCCTGCTCTGTCTTTGTCATTTCACCAGACACACATGTTCCTTCTACGCTCCGTATCCCCCCTCCGTCTCCACACAGTCCATTTTTGACCCTTTCCCACTTCGCCTTCATCACGAAGTCTCAGCTCTAAATTTAGCCCAGGTGAACCTGACACTACACCGCATGTGACTTAGCTTTCAACACACGTCGTCCTTCTCCGGGTCGGCCGTATTAAAGCCCCTATAAAAATTGACGTGTTTGTCTGCATTGTGCTTTCACGCTGTGTTTATGTAAACAGACTCCTGCCATTCGTCGTCACCATTTCCAGAAGTACCGTCTGAAGCTCAAAGGTCAAACTAAGACCCACAAAATAACACAGGAGCATGTGAAAGGAAAAAGGTTAGCACACAAACACTCTGGTTGTTCACAATTAAACGCAGACAAACCTTTAAATTCTGTATTTTTTCCAGTTAATTGTGCACTTCTTCCCTTAAACATTTCCTCAGGGATTCATAAAGTTTTATCTTATCTTATCTCGTGTACAGAAAAATAGTTCAGTGTGACACATTTCCAGGTTATATAATAGCAGCCTGCTCTTAAAATCTGGTACATCAGCAAAACCAAAAGTAAAGTGACATTTTTTTTAGTTGCTTTTCTATTCATTTACTGAATAGAAAGGTGTGTCTCCTCCCACAAAGCACAGGTGCTACATTAGCAGCATATCTTTTGATTTTAATTATTATTATTGGGAAATTTATTGTTTTTTTTTAATGCTATGCAACTTCAGAATCAATTAATGTGCCTGTGTTGAATTGATTTGAAGAAAATCAAGAAGATTCTCTTATTTGTCAAGGTGAAGCCAGTGTTCTGGATCATTTAACTTCAGAAAATACTATCAGTAATGCAAATGAGTCCTGACTAATAACATCAGGAATAATTCTGACATTCATGCAGTCACTGAAAAACTGCTTCTTAATGTGGAAAAATATTGATGACCAACTAATGACCAGATACCCGACATAAAACTGTGTAAACAAGCGGTTGCCCAACGCAGGCCAACCCTCCAGATAAGGTGAAACCAAGACAAGTGTGTGTGTGTGTGTGTCATATAACAAGGAATGTGTGTGTGTGTGTGAGATAAGGTCAGGTTTAGTCGAGTTACTCTAAGACAATTTATAGCTTGAATGTGAGGAGCATAGTGTGGATGGCATTTGTTCCATAGTATGATCTGTGGAGAATGACAGCCACTTCCAGACGGTTTTATTGTGTACATAACAACAGTAGCTGCTCTCTGTTGTTGACCATCATCTGTCCTGTATTACCCTTTACTGGTGTATTAACTATAGGACAGTCTGGCACTGGATCAACGAGCCTGGTTTCAGAACTTTGGAGAGTTACGCAAAGAAATACGCTCAATTTAACACCAATATCAATTTGAAAACACTACAGGTTTACTATTCATTCAAGTAGCTTGCATAATAACAGTCAGTAAAACGGTGTAATCAGACTGTACAGGAAGGAGTGGACAGGAGGAAGGTGCTAAATGATATCAGATATCTTCGTTCTTAGAGACCCAGATAAGGCGCTTCAACAAAGACTTCTGGCATCACATCGGCCTGTCTCATAAACCACGCTGCTCATTGAGTCCAGCTCTGCCTCCCATTGTTCCTGATCGTCGGCTGTGTGATCTGCAACACCTCACTTTTTTTTTTTTTTTTTTTAAAGCACAACCTCTATTTCAAGTTAGACGCTGCACCAGAACAGCTGATTTTAAAAAAGCGTTTCAGATGATCTCACGTCGCCAACCACACAAACGGAGCTCAGTAATCTCCATGTGAGAAAATCCCCTTTCAGACAGTTTGCAGTTTGTGCATTTCAGGGAACTAACGGGATCCACACAGGCCTGGACTGGTACTAAAACCTTGACATTCCCGGCTGCGGTTCTCCCACCCACCGGAGAGTGACTCATTCCTCACTGACAGCCACACGGACTGTTGACAACAAGTACACGTTGCGCACAAGACAACTACTTTACTGTGACTAGCGACGTGTGAAAAGCGTGTATTTCTTACCTTTATTAATGGGGCGGAGTGTGCAGAGTTAGTGAGCGCTGGTCGATGCAGCAGCGGACTGTGAAGGAGAAGCAGCGGCGCGCACTGGGCACGCGCGAGTCAGACCTCCGGCCGAGGGCGGGGCCGTTGTGCAATTGACATTGAGCAGAAGAAAAAACACGCTCATAGTAACAACAGGGTTCGTAAATGTTTGACAAAATGTGTTCAAATCGTGAGTGCTGACCATGAAAATTTCATTGAGAGATTTTAAAAACAGGATAATGTTATGCAGTGCAGTTTTATTCAATATTAAATCAATAAATAAACACATACATACATTTATGTTTAAAAATAATACATAAAATACTAACAGACTGGAAAAACTTATTGAGAATCGTTCCTTCTCTTTTCAAATAACATTTTTATAGTTAGTTCAAAAGCATTTTCCCCCCTTTTATTTATTTGTTTTATTTATATACCTCTGACTTGATGCACATTGTTGTTTTGCATATGAAATAGGTTTGCAAAAAAATGTGTTGTACATGTGCAATGACAATGAAGATATTCTATTAAATACATCTGGAATAAGTAGATGCAGCTACGTGTGTAGAAACATGCATCTGGATAACATACTGTACAGACATTTGTATGAATAGCCTACAATAATAAAACCACGCCCCCTTTTTCCTCTTTTATATTGGAGTGTCAAATTTTATGTGACTTTTATAGAATTGTATGTTTTTGACATAAACAATATTTATTATGTATGTGTCAAGTTTACATACACTTGTAGGGACCGTGCATATCATGGCAGTCTTGAGTTTCCAATAACCTTTATTACTCTTAATTTTCTATGATGGAATCATTGAAACCCACACATCTTTGTCACGAAACACAATCATGCATTTTGGTATTTCACAGATTTTTATAGGTTTGTTGGAAAAGTGAAAAAAATCTGCTGGGTCAAAAATATACATACAGCAACTTGAATGATCAGTTTTGGTGATTTAGACAGCTGTGTCAATCAGGTTTTCTTCATGGAATTGCCTTTTAACTTCTCATGAGTAATTATGATTGACTCGGGCTGCTGATCCCAAAATCTGTGCAAACAGTTGTTTGTAAGGATAAACTGCATGGCACAGTTGTGTCACTCGATCAGGAAGAAAACACCAGCTATCACCTGCTGCTGAGAGACAGTCGGTCATGATGGTCCCCAGAACACATCTGCAATGCATGAGAAACTGCTGGAACAAAACTGTCAGTGTCCACAGTCAGGAAAGCCCTTCCTCTAGATGCAGTACCTTGAGGCTTGACTGAAGTTTGCTGCTGATCACATGGACAAAGAAAAGGCCTTCTGGAGCAAAGTTCTGTGGTCATATGAGACAAATATTAAGGTAGTTGACCACAATGACCAGAAATATGTTTGGAGGAGAGAAGGTGAGACCTCTCACCTGAAGAAGGCCAAACCTACTGTTAAGCATGGGGGTGGCAGTATTATACCTGTGGAACTGGTGCCTCACACAAAGAAAATGAAAGTAGGATCACCTCAACATTCTTCAGGAAAAGCCTGATTGCTGTATGTATAATTTTTATCAAGCATTTTTGTCATATTTGTATAATAAATCGATGAAATAACCAAAGAGCAAGATTCATGGGTTACGATGTTTCCCTTATAAAAAAAAATAAGAGTTGTAGGAATTATCGGAAACCTAAGACAACTGTATATACACATGTGTGATAATTATTTTTTAAATTTTATTTAAAAAGGGATATTTTTCAAAGGACTACTTTAGTTTTTATATATATAAACATTTGCCACTCCAATATAATAGAGGAAAAGGGGTGTGTGGGTTTATTATGGTCGGCTATTCATACAAATGTCTGTACAATATTTTATCCAGGTGTATTTTTGTATCAAATGCAGCAATGTTAGAATTTTGCTATATATTAATATAATCATAGCCTCTGCCACCGTGAAATAGGAGAAACTGTAAAAAGGCTGCATTTGTTTTGGTGTCACCAGTAAGGAGCAATGACCTCTGTCTAACTCTTCTTTACGATGGTTTCCTGTTTGCCCTGATTAAACTCTGTCAGGCTGATGTTCCACCTTTCTAGCACATTCTAGCAGCCAAATGGTCCTGATTTAATTTAGTTTGGCACAATTTAATATGAGAGCCAGGTTCAGTTTGAATGCGGGAGCTGCAGAATATAAGAAGGCGCATGCTAGAACACCTGAGAGGCAAAACTGAGGGAATAATTCCCACCAAGGGCAGCCGGATTATAGCAGAAATACACCAACTAGATCTGCGACAAAGGCAGCGTTACACCAACAGTACAGGTTTGTCAGCTTTAAGAAACTACCCTTGAATTAAGAAATGTGGGTTTTGTATTAGCTAAGTATTTTATTATCTTAAACTGTTGATGTCGTGGACTTTTGGGGTGTTTTTGGGTGAACAAGTCTCTTCTGCCCGGTGCAGTTCTACGCGCGGCAGCCCCGTTGCCATGGTGACGAATACTGCAACAAGTGTTGATACCTCGGCGTCATCAGTCTGCGTGACAAAATCTTCAAACGATAAACAAGGCGATATCACAGGTAAACAAACAAACTCGGTTCCTTTAGCCCCCCGAACCGATTCCGGTTGCTGAGTAGACGTTAAAATAACCCACCGGAGGTATTTAACTGCATTTAAACGCCTGCGTGTGTTTCCTGTCTGAGCGATGAACGTCGACAGAGCCTGTGTTGATTAGCAAACTTCACAACAAGCTAATTAACAATAGCTATTGTTAGCGTTAGCAAGCGATGCGTCAGTGGATGAACAGGGATTTCTGTACCTATATACTGTCTATATACTAAGTGTTCACGTTGTAGCTGACTACTGATCAAAATATAAACTTAAATCAGCTGTTATTCTGTGTAGTCTTTCACAGTCAGTATGTGGGATTTAGTTTATAGCCCTAAAGGACTTACCATTTGTTAGATAGATGCAATAAATACAAGCATTACATCACCGTAGGCCCAAAGAAATCAGTGATCATCACTCTAGGTAACACTGACCAATAATTATCTCATTGCTTATCTGTTTTGTGTTTGATTTTGAATATATTTCTTTGATGATAACCTTACTTTAACTTGTCTTCCGTTTCTATTTTGCAGCTTCAGATGTGTGAGGGACCTTCATTGATATCGGGGCCAATCCCTCCTGATCCTTCTCTGTTTCCTCAGTACTACAGACGGCCATCATCAGGTTAGATTCATATTAAAATACCACTTAGAACAGATTTTAAGGCTTGTGTGTGGTAATACAGGACAGCAAAATAAATCTAAATGAATTAGAAAATCACAACTGCTGCAATTTTAGGATCTGTGTTACGCAGCACATCTGACCCGAAGTAAAACTGTTGTGTTTGTGACGGTATCCAATGTTGTAATGCTCAGTCAAATGTTTTTTTACACAGTGAGTATTGAACTTCAGCATCACAGTCAGAATGTCTGTCAGAAAAATGTATATTTTACCCTCAACTCTTCGGTCCAAGTGGTTTAATAAATGTGGCACCACATTTAGAAAGCTGCTGTTTTAGAGTAAACTATTACCTGCACGTGTTTAAAAACTTGAACTCACAATTTTTTTCTATGAAATACTTGTTAGCCTCAAGATACATCATTTAGATTGCTCTCCTCCTTCAGCTCGTGGCCGTTTAGAGGGAAACCATGATGGGACCTTGGCCCTGCTCTCGGGGCCACTTGCTCCAGACCCTGTGTTGTATCCGGGTTGCTACAGTGCTCGTACACCTGCACAGCAGCCCCGCATCGGACCTAATGCCGCCCATATTCTGGAGCGAGGACGTAAAGGTGTTGTTGGGGAACTGCTCAAACTAGACGGTGTTGCTATCACCCCTGTTCCCAGACAGAGTAAGTACAATTCACTGCTGGGTATTTTATTGTTAACAACGCAGTTTGCTTTTAGAAAAATAGTCTGCCAATATCTTCCCCATGAATAGCACATGTCCTAAAAAGTCTGAACTCTTCATACAGCTACTGAAAAATTCAAGACACTAACATGACAGCTATGGATTTATTCTGAATATCTTGACTGAATGTAGAACAGTGTGTTAAAACAACTCTTGTGGCTGACCCTGTAGAACAGCGAGTTCATGACTTTGGTAAAGAAAATGTGCGTCGGCTGCGGGAGATCCAGAAACGCTGCAAAGAGCAGGAGGCTGAGCGAGCACAGTCCCGTTCTGTTCCTGTTAAAGCTCTTTGGACCGCCTCAAAATACCAGGACGTCCCATCCAGGGTGATGGCCCAGCTGCAGGCAAGGAGCACATCTATGAAAGATAGAAGTCTTGGAGACTTTTTTTTCTCTACATCACATTAAAACCATTTTTTTTTCTTTCATGTAGGTTTCCAGTCCAGCTGTTAAGCCACACTGTCAAAACTTTCTGAAGTCCCACTCTAACGGCGCGTCTCCTGCTCCTTCAAGACCACAATCCAAAGGTTCTTCTGTAGCTTTACAACGTTCGACCTCCTGGAACTCTACGCAGGACCAAGACTTGAAGGTAGGAATTAATGATACATTTTTTTAAAATTGAAAACACACTCATTAAAAGTGTAGTATGTTGATTTGTGTTAATTTTGCCACGTTGTTCAACAAAAAAATCAGGTTTGTATCTTTCACCTGATGCACCAAAATGTTTAAGAGAAGAAAACTGCATCTGCAAATTTCTTGATTTCAATTTTTCTTTTCTTTCTTTTCTTTTAATCTCAGTTACAGGTGCAAGGTCACACCATAGACTTCATAAAACATAATGCCCGGGCTGCAGGCAGAACTGTGCCTCGTCGGTCCCAGTCCCTGACAAACCTCCGAGAGAAGCCGGTGCCCAGTGCAGTAAAGGGGCAGGTGCCTCAGTAGTGAGTATTCCTATACAACATCTTATCTTATTTATTATTTACTTAAAAACTGGTCACTATTGTGAAAAGATGTGATACTTCACCACAGGTAGTTTAGACATTTTTGAACACCCTTTTGCGGATACTCAAACCCAAACACTATCACACACAGTCTTGAGGAGAGGAAGGAGCAGTGGCGTAAAGAGGAGGAGGAGAGGAGGAGGAACGCACCTGATCCTTCAGCCCCACCTGGTCACACCCTGATGCCTGACAGTGAGAGACAGGAGACACTCAAGTCCCTGGAAGCGAGTACGCCACTGTTGCGCCTTACATTCATGATCGTAACAATACCTTAAAATACTATAAATCAAAGTAGACAATCTACAGCAACATGTGCCTTTCTAACTCTGTTCTTGTTGGCTTTTTTTCCCTCAGCCCACCGCTCTCTGGTGACCGAGCTGCTCTCGCTCCCTCTCAAAGCGGACACTCTGAGTATTCGCTCGCGTCGGGCTCGTCTCGATTGTAGGCTCTCTGAAATCGAGGAGGCCATAAAAATATTCTCCAGGGACAAAGTTTACATAAAAATAGATTCCTAACACATGGGAAGGAAGCTGGGGAGGAGAAAGAAGGAAGAGAGATGACCTTGTAAATCCACTGCTTTTGCTATTGAGATTAATGTTCTTGTTGTAGTTGCATTATGTAAAACAACCCTGAACCATGCGAAAAAAAGATGACTATTTTCATGTTACGAAAGGATTTTGCAAAGTAAAAAATCTATATTGTAAACGTAGTGATTTTTTTAACATAAGGTAAACTGTTGAGGTTACTGAATGCATTTGCGTAAACAACGATATACATGATTAATATGCAGTTGTCTTGTGGAAGAAAGAAAGAGACAGATGTTGTGAGTAAAACAGTCAAAACCATAAGTGTAATTTGCTGCGATGTGATTTGTTTTGTCTTTTTGTAAAACTTGCCAGTAAATTATAATGAATATTTTTATGAAGGTACTGTGTGTGTGTGTTTTATTTTTAATTTGGACTATTAAAATGTGTGTACAATCGATGGTTCCCTCCAAAAGTAATTATATTTATTTGAAATTTTAAAAAAACAAAAAACAAAAACACTATGTCCTTATTTGGGGGTATCTATGACGTAGCACGCACGCCCCGCCCCCTCTACGTACTTCGGTCATTGTTCGGCGTGTGAGCTAGCTTTAGCTAATGTGCTAGTTAAAGGGTAGCTAACAACGTAAAGAGGTTCAAACTTCTGCTGCACGAATATAAACCCGTTTTTACTTCTTCAACTCACATTCGAGAGTCTGTCAAATCCACAATGAGCAAGAGGAAAGCGCCGCAGGAATCCCTGAATGAAGGGATAACAGACTTTCTTGTCGGTAAGTAATCAATCGGTTGAGCTCAGCTAGCTGCAGCAGCTAGCATGGCAGCTGTGTTCTGTTTTTAAATGCCAACAGCCCGAAAATAACTAGTGGCTTATTTGTCAGAATGCTCTCAGTGATGCTGCTTGTTTCTTGATTATTTCTTTAAACTGTGCGTTATTTAGAAGTAACATAGTCCGCTGATGGTGACAACGTTGTCATTTAAATGCCTCCTACTTTCAGTTGTGTTTCCACTTTCCAATGAATTACTGACAGAAAGGTAAAATCATGCAAAGTCCTAACGCTGCTTCTGTTTGCAGAGCTGGCCAACTACGAGAAAAATGTCAACAGAGCAATACACAAGTACAACGCATACAGGTAAGATGTGACTGGTGACCAGAGAGCTGCACTTTGGATCAGAATCTGGGTTTTCTTTCTTTTTTATACGACGATATGTGATTATAGACGTGATCCTGCTGAAATCTGTCACATCAACTGTAGAGAAAACATCTCAGTTCCAAGTTTGTTATGTCTGCTTAGGTTAAAACAATGCTGGCAAATGCAGCAACATTGCAACGAAGCCTTTGATTAACTCATTGTGTTAAACTAAACTCATTTAGAGAGGAAATTGTATGCTCATTCTGGAGACTATTGCTGTTGAACTGAAGTGTGTTATGCTAAGAAGTGTTTCTGCCTTACCTCTTCAAACTATTTATATCAGTCAGGAAAGGCTTCTATTAGAATCACCATGAAGTTGAATCAGCACCTCTTTAAAACAGTTTTTAAAAAATCAAGCTCACAATGTAGTTATTAATGGTAGGTGGATTTATGGCAGTCAATTGCATTTATGTAGGATACACTGAGTAGCATGCTGTGATAAGATGGTTATCATTAACCTAATCATTGGGTCTGATTGTACTCTTTTTAACTCTGTCAGGGAAATTTAATCCAAGTTTTCAAATGCAATGTGTTGTTGTTGATTTTACTGTTACATAACACGTCCTCTTGTGCCCGGTGGTTAGGAAAGCAGCATCTACCATCGCCAAGTACCCCAACAAGATCAAAAGTGGTGAAGAGGCTAAGAAACTGGTACGTGAACTGATAACAATTTTAACGCCGGCGTGTGTTGACTTTGTAAATAACACCTGAATGAGTAAAATGGTAATGATAATGATAATGATAATGGTCCAGATGCATGATGAGACTTTGCTCATCAACTCCACTTTGAGATGCAAATATGTAGTGACCAGCACCGAGGTCGTTCTTACCTGTGACACTGATGTAAATGTGCTGGCGAGCATTTGTTTAAAATGTACAGGTTTGATGTTGAACATGTGGTGGCGCTCTTGTGAACATCCCTGTATTCATGCATGGATACATTCATCAAACAGCCCAGCAGACATTGCTTTAAAGGATATTGTTAGTAGTGTGGTGTAAATCATGACCTTGATCATCATCATAGATGGCTGGATGGAAGATCTACTGACTTTTCACTGTAGACATGATCAAATAATATATATATATATATATGTGTTTACATATATATAGAGAGCTTTACAAGTTGCAGACATATCAGAGTTTGTGTGTTTGATGTGTTGTGTTGGTATTGTTTCATCATAGTTTGACTCATTGTTTTTTGTCTACACTGACCTTCACTCGGACAGATGATATGATGTGAGCTGCTTTTAGACTTTTGCTTTTGGTGTAATCGCTTCTGCAAAACAGGAAGTGATGCCAGTGCCGTTTGTCTGTCCTCCCGCTGATGTGCTGGTGTTGCTGTGTTTTAGGCGATGCCCTCGGTTGTAGTCTTAAAATGTTTGTCAACAGCTACTCTGCACATCTTACGTAATCGCTGCAGATCACAGTGTGCAGCACCCTCATGTTTGTTTTCCTGTTTCAACAGGATGGCGTTGGAGCTAAAATAGCTGAAAAGATTGATGAGTTCTTGCAAACTGGCAAACTGAGGAAACTGGAAAAGGTGAGTGGAGGTGTGTGATAAGAATTGTGATAGTTATATTCCAACATAATCCACAGACTGATGCACTTCTTTTATATTTTCTTCTAGATTCGAAATGATGACACCAGCTCCTCCATCAATTTCCTCACCAGAGTTACTGGAATAGGGTACGCTGACAGCAGTGCCCGTCTAAATGTTGATGTGGGATAGTTTATTTGAACATTTACAGTTAAACACATCCTACCAAATCAAAATGCACTGAGTGAACCGTTCATTCAGAGGTAGATTTATTGGTTTCTGTTCTGTTGTATGTTCTCAATATAACAAAGTGCGTCTCTTGGGTCTTGACTTTAGTCCTGCTGCTGCCAGGAAGTTTTTTGACGAAGGCGTGAAGACTTTGGAAGGTTTGTTTCGCATTTGGCTCACATTACTACTGTTCAAATATGGTTTGAAGCTTTGCCTGCACGACTTTCTATCTTATTTGACATACAGTCTGCTGCATGTTCAATAAATGCACACAAGGTTTAGTTCTTTCCTATTTTTTATTGTATTTTTTTAGATTTGAAAAAGATCGAGCACAAACTTAACCATCATCAGCAGATTGGACTGAAGTAAGTTGGGTTAAGTGCTTCTTTTTTTTCTATTTTAAACATCTCAAGATACTTTAAATATATGTAAGTCATCGCTGATACATTCGGGTGTTTAATGAGTTACTGTGCTGCCTTTAGGTACTTTGAAGAATTTGAAAAAAGGATTCCAAGAGCTGAAATGGAAAAGATGGAGGTGATCAAATATTTCTATGTTTCTGATATAGTCCAATGATTTTTGTAGAACTCTCTCACACTGGCATCTTATGTTTTTGTTTAGACTTTGATTCTTGGCGAGTTGGGGAAAATTGATACGGAATATATTGGAACAATCTGCGGCAGCTACAGGAGAGGTAATCATTTCACTCCAGTTGATGAACATTAGTGTTGAGTTTGTAGCAGCACTGTAACCTCTGTTAATCATGGACATCACCTCCAGGGGCAGCATCGAGTGGTGATATTGATATTTTGCTGACCCACCCAGACTACACCTCTGAAACTGAGAAGCAGGTAAGATTTCTCTTTACTGTAACTCAACTGTCCCGTTATAAATACAGTATGTTGCCATTAATTGCAAGATGATTTATTTCATCTTTCTAAAACTTTTTCTATTGTTTTCCAGCCCAAGCTCCTCCATGCCGTAGTCGATCATTTGGAGTCCATCGGCTTTGTGACCGACACTCTGTCCAAAGGAGACACTAAGTTCATGGTGAGGCCTCCGCCTGCTTTCTCTCCTGTGCTCAGCTTGATGTTGTGATTGCTAACACAGTTAGTACGTTAACTACACCCAGCCCGTGTAGCACATGACTGTGGTCACGATGTGCTGGATCTTGTTTTTCCAGGGAGTCTGCCAGCTGCAGCAGAGCGATGAGGATGAGGAAGAGGAAGAATACCTTCACAGGCGCATTGATATTAGGTACCCTACTTCTATACTGCTCTCAACATACAGACTTTTCAGGGATTTATGTCTGTGAGGATTCATTGTATTATGTCATAATAAAGACTGTTTTGAGTGCTAGTGTTTAAGGGGATCAGATTATGATCTGCCAGATAAACCTTTGCTGCTGCGTTCTGCAAAAGCAAACAGGCTGTGGTTACCTGCAATTTATTATCCCACAAAGACTGTAAAGAGGCAAATAATCTTTTCATTTGCTGCTCTTCCAATCAGAAGTTGGTTCCTGCTCTCTAACTATCTTTCCTCGTTTCCAAAGGTTAATTCCCAAAGACCAGTACTACTGTGGAGTTCTGTATTTCACTGGAAGCGATATATTCAACAAGAACATGAGAACCCATGCCCTGGAGAAGGGTTTCACTCTTAATGAGTACACCATACGACCACTTGGAGTCACTGGTGAGTCTCAGTCAAATATGACAAGTGAACCTGCTGAACTCTGTTTCAGCTACATGCGACTTCTGTCATCAGTCAGCAACTAATGATTCACGCGTTCAGCTTTTAACATGTGTTATTTTTCTGTCTGGATCTGCTGTAGGTGTGGCAGGGGAGCCTCTGTTGGTGGATAGTGAGAGAGACATCTTTGAATACATCCAGTACAGATACAGAGAGCCGAAGGACCGCAGCGAGTGAAGCAGAGAACAGCCTCCAGTTGCAGCTGTTTTTAAAGCTACAGTTTTCCTGCAAACGAGATCTAAACAAATGTGTGTGCTGGTCTTTTCTTTTTCCGCCATCCGACTGTGTTATAGAAAAGAAACAACTGTGAAAGTCGTTTTACGTGTTTGTTTTGGACTTTTTACATCTTAACCTGAAGCCACGTCCAACAGTAATATTTTAACTTAAACATGTGCACGCTCTGGATGAGACAATGATTTAGATTTTACCTTTGTCTTAAATCTTCATGGTCATATATCTTTGTGAGGACTTTTTGCCTTGATTTTTAAGCAAGTTTATAAAAATCATGCTCAGTTGTTATTTATATTTTACCTCACTTTTAGTTTTTGATATGTCGAAAAATGATGACTTGTGGGTAACGGTTTTAATGTTTTAATGTGGATTGACTTCTGTTACAATTGTTGTCTGTGAACAGTGAGGACCACTGTTGTCGAGCCATTTCCTTGAAAACTCTTTCTACATTACTGTAGTTTTCTTTGCAGCATTGTTCCTCCAATTTGGGTAGCCTCGCAAAATGGAAATACTACAATGATACAAACTATTTATGATTAGTGAGCTAAGTTCCTGGTCATGGACACTAATTTAGGACAAAATGGTCATTTGACTCGAGATGAATGAACGTATGTGTTTTCCCTTTTTGAGTAAATGTACTGGTAGATTTGATTAATCTATTTTCCGTGTTTGTGTGAAAATGATTACATGCAGTGGTAGATCAGGACATTATGGGATTGTCAGTGCTTTTCAAAGGGTCATTTTAACAGCGGTAGATTAAAGTAACTGAAATATTTCTACAGTGTAAAACTAGAATATTAGGGTTAGCAGTCCAGCTTTGTAGGTGGATGGTTGCAAAAATGTCAGAAAATATTTAAGAAAAAATGGAAGTCTGAGGGATTGTTGATGTCCAAATGCTAGCTTTGAGTATGCTTGAATGAAATAAATGGGTAAAAAAAAGATGATAGAAGTGTTATTTGTTTTAATTTTTCTTTTTTTTAAAGGATATTATAAAAAGTTGAAAAAGAAATCAGTAATTGCAGCTTGTAGCATGCAGTCATTTGTAATATGGATAATTATCTAGTGAAGTTTGTAACGCTGGGGGTGTTGGATTCAAACCATATTGTGAAGCACTGTGTAGTTTTCCGTTGGAAATAGGTTTAAAATTAACATCCTGAAGATCATATTTGGCCATATTTTTAAAAAGAAGTTGATAATTAGAAAGTTAGCATTTCTTGTTTTTACAAAATACGCTGGCATTTCCAGATTTTTTGTGTCGTGTTGGATGCTGTATTTACAAAAAAAAAAAAAAGTATTAGTAAAAGGACAAAAATGAAAAACAAAATTCGTACACTTGAAAGTGACTGCAAAAAAAAAACTAAAACAATTTTAAAGTAATTACATATCCTGCGGTAGTTTTTGTCGCCGCTGTCAAGCCAAGTTATTTACCAAGGTTGCCGCGGTAACCACCGTGTCGCAAGGCATGCTGGGTTGAAATAAAACGCTCGCAGAAACACCGGAAAGATAGGCCTGAGCTCGCCAATGACAGCGCTCTGTGCATTAATACCGGCCAATCGGAGCACACCGAGGCAGCAGTCTCTTACCGCTACACACCCACATTACTTTTGTGTCAACCACTTCGCGGGAGTTGTCACTTCAGGAGCAGTCGTCTCTTTAAAACTAGACAAACAGTAAACGGGAGACTAGGAGGTAAATTAACAATTTTTTGCATGCGGAGACTTGTAATTTATTTGTTCTTTTTACAATACTACTGAACCGATAAGGTCTGCCTTTACAGTTAGTCGGTGTTTTTTATCCTTTTTCGAGATGAATGAGCAGCCAGTTATCGTGCTTTAGCTAATCAACAGCTCATCATCGCTGAATGTGCATGTGGCCAGGTGTTGCTAGCAAACCCATACCTCTTATGACTCCTTACTTCAGATAAAGTCATTTTTTTGTGGCAAACGTTGTGATATTACGAGGTTTGGGGGTGTTTATTTTGATATCTTGTACGGTGCTGCGGATAAGGCATGCTTTTCTTTTCTATTTTTTCGCTCGCTGCTGTCTAATGTTGACTACTTGCAGCAGTGTGGTGTCATTTTTGCAGCCCGATTTTCGTTGAAACCTCGGAAAAATTTGAGGCGTTAATCTCAAATGTCTTGCGTATCCATAGAAACTACGCAGAGCGCGCGTCCAGCAAGAGCCTGCCGCTGATGGAAGTTGTTATGCAACACTTGTAGAAACGGCTAGTTAAAATATTATGTATCACCGATTATGTAATAACAGCATCGTCACTAACCAGGCGTTTTGGGTTGTTTTTTTTCTCTCTCTCCTCCTTTACTGGCATCATGCAGTGCAGTTCGCCGTTTAAAGCAGTCGATGATGAGGACTGTTAGGATGCTCGGGCTCTACACTCAGTTGCATTGTGTGTGTGCGCGCGTGTGTGTGCCAATGCGCCTGTGAGGATGATGAATTCTCCGCTGTGTTTTGGTTTCCCAGAGCAACCATGTCTGAGAGAAAGGCAGTGATCAAGAATGCCGACATGTCGGAGGACATGCAGCAGGACGCCGTGGAGTGTGCCACACAGGCCCTGGAGAAGTACAACATCGAGAAAGACATCGCTGCATACATCAAGAAGGTAAAACCCCCACTGCTGGAGCATCCATCTCTTCATCTCGGGCCCCAAAGTGGGCTGCATAGATCATAGCTTGAATTCAAAATCAAGTACTGGTGTTGAGTTGACGCTTTTCCAGTGATGTGACTAAGATGTAAAGCTATTTTCCCACCCAGTCATCCTGTGCATCATTCATGGTACACACCCAGCCTGCTGTTCGCAATTGTTTCCTCTCTTCCTGAGGAAACCTGTTCCCCCTGGACTGACTGTCCTTCACTGACATGCCCACATTTTAATCTCCTGTTTGGTGTAGGGAGGGACACGCTAATTAACCATACCTGCATTGTTTCAATAGCTTGGGTATAGGTGTGGACTGATATCTCCTGCAGCATTACACCTTTGCTCATTTCTTCAGGGAACGTGCAGCTAGTTTGTCAACAATCTAGTTTTAAAAAAAAGTGTAGAACTGACATTATTGGAAGAAAGAGAAATGGGATTGCCATCAAATGGGGAAAGAAAGTAATTGTGAGTTTCACTTAAATTTGACCCAACTGAACTATACTTACCGCCAATTAGACAAAAATCCTTGTCACAGTAAATCATCCAGGTCAGGCATGTGGTGCACATTTCTCCAAATGCCAGACCTCTAAAGCCTGACAGACAACCCCAAAGTTAAATATCTCTACTGATATGAGGCTGTTTCATGAGTGAGGGTCAGGTAAATAAGTGTAATTGTCATCCCCCCATCTACAGTCTGATAAGTGCAGAAAACTGTTTTTTTTTTTTTTTAGTTGTGATGCAGCCTTTCAAAACCCAGAAAACAAACGGCTCACTTGTTTCTCCCCTTGAACCTCCAGGCACCACCGAGCAGTGTATTAGTACTTGTCCCATCTTTACACCTACAAATATGTTTGTTTACAAATGTGTGACAAACACAACATGTCTTTGTCCTCCTCACAGGAGTTTGACAAGAAATACAACCCGACCTGGCACTGCATCGTTGGGAGGAACTTTGGCAGCTACGTGACTCATGAGACCAAGCATTTCATTTACTTCTACTTGGGTCAGGTGGCCATTCTGCTGTTCAAGTCCGGCTGAGGGAAGGCCTTTCCTCCACAACACCGGCTGACCACATATACAGTACTGACTGACTCCACAAAAGGCACTTATCATTCCTTGGCAAGGGGCCGCTGCCTTTTTCTGTGCTGCTTTCTACTTTGTTCTGTTTTTGAGGATAAAAAAAAAGCAAAAAAATCAAAAAAACGTGGCCATGTTAAAGAGATGAAACACTTGTATTTATTTTTGTCTTGTTACATTAGACGTCATTTTTTTAATTAAAGCGTAGCTGTTAAGCTGTCTGGGTCCAATGTTTGCTGTGGTCATTTCACTCACTGCTTCATGTTCCTCCAACTGGGAGAATCATAACCCCATATGACCAGGTACAAGTTAAGATGTAAAGAGATGTAAGATGCTAAGGGGCGGAAGTTGCTCAAATTGCAGTCACCAGGGGTAGTTTATATTCCCCGTTTGATGTACTATTGATCATAAATTGACTCAAAGGAACAGAACACATGCAACACACTGAGGTCAACAAGTTCAATGTGACTTGAGCTGTGACTAATCCTCCATATTGCTACGGGGTTCATTTCATGTAGTGTAAAGAATTAAACAGTAGGGACGATTTAATTCC